TTTGTCGTGTTTATAGGCGAATAGAGTAGTTTCACTCGATTGGTAAAAAGTTATTGAGCGCAATTTCGTTTCAATAATGCCGCAATCGTGGGCATATTTAACATTTATTGAAGAGAGAAAATAGTGGTGTGTGTGGGTGTGTGAGAGAGAGAGAGAGAAGAGAGAGAGAGAGAGAGAAGAGAGAGAGAGAAGACCACTCGATGGTCATGAACGTACTGTAGTTTTAATCGGTCATTGATACGGTTAAGCATGGAGTAAATATATTGATATCCGCAGTCCGGCACGCCAGGAATGTATAGGCGGTATTGGCACAAGCTACAGGGCAAGATCATCAGGTCCCATAAATCGTTGAAATTCCATTGAATAACGTCGTGCAGAAACTTTGTCTCATTCACTTCATATCTGCAAAGTCATGTGATGGGATGGATGGCACGTTAAAAACATTAATGGCCTGTTGTTGGGGGGCACGCACTAACTGTCATAAGTAAAGCCCCTAACAACAGGCATTAATATATAAATATAATATGGAAATTTTCCGTCATCAGCGGATATTCAATAATGCTGGGCTATTAATTGGTATAGTCGGTAATACATGTTTAGCTAGTAACATAAAACATAGCTAATATATATAAATATATAATATGTAACGAACTTGCTCACTTGCTTTTTCCCGACAAGACGTTATCCGGGCCTGATGTTCGGCCCTGAGGTATACGTTATATAACAGGATCGACTAAGCTGATTAATGCGAATCGCACCAGCGTACTCACAAGACACAACGCCAACGTAACGGTGTTTCACAGAATGACCGGCGCGGGTAATGCGGGGCCTATTTTATTATACACTGTTGGTGACCAATGCAGGCCAGCGCACGATAAAAGCAGACCCCCGTAATGCACAGCGTTCTTGTGCTAAAGGCCGGGAATTACAGTGGTGAGGCAGTGCTTTAGCCAATCGGCGCACACTGGGCTCCGGCCGCCCCCTACATGGTTGAGCTAGGCAGGGCGGGCAAGCCAGCGCAAGCGAGTAGAGATCAGTGGGAGGGTGAAAGCTTCAATTGCTAATGCTCACACAGGGCCGGCGTGTTCCATCCGTCTTGCGTTGTTGTGCTCCGCTAGTCAAGGGAAACGAGAGCAGCAAGCGGCGGCGATCCTCGTCCTGCGTGGTGTGTGGCTGTTTGTCAGGAATGAGGCCAGCAAGCGGCGTGATTCTCGTCCTTGCGTGGTGGTGTGGCTTCGTCGTAGACGTTCTGAGCTGAGGCTGCCTGACTACGACAGTACCCTACATGGTCAACTAGCAGGGCGGGACGAAGCCACCAGCAGCTAGAGAGCAGTGGGGGGTGCGAGCTTTCCTGACTGAGCCAAGCTAGCTCTGTGCTGCTTTGGAGCTGGACACCGCAGCTTATATACAACCGTGGGACATCACGTGGTCAGAGTCATGTGACCCCCACGTGTGACCTGCAGGTGTCCCGTCAAAGTGGTGCAGCATGGCTTTCCATTCCAATCTGCTGCTAGCTCACGTGGCTACGAAGCCGTTCGTTCTCAAGATTGAAGCAATGCTGACGCATGCTATAGTGCATGTTGTACGGCGGATCGAATTCGCTACACTGCCCTCTTCTTTCTCGAGTTCTGCTGGCAGAACTCGCATGACGAAACGTAGCGAAGACCCGCGAGTCAGCATCCTAGTGGTGCGTTCCACAGAATAGGTGCGACGTCCTATGACGGCATCAGGTGAAGGAAAGGCGACAAGGTTGCCACTTCTTCGTTCAGGGCACAGTTTTCTTCCTCGATATCCTTACACCGGTGATCCACCATACCCTGTATGGGAGCAATAGCGTGCTTCATCGGCATCTGCCTGTCATCATCCAGTATACTGGCGTAGCATACCGACGGGGGAGGCGTGACTCTCGCCCGTGCTCGTAGAGCTCGTCACCTCGCAGTGTGCTCTGTGGCTATCTGACTTCTATGCTCCTCGACGGCCGTCCGACGAACTATCTGCCCAGACTGCCCATGAAGTGCAACTCGCAGGAACGAGAACAGACTTATGTGCCTGCCTGCCGTGTTTATCACACGGTTCCCTTCACAACAAGGATATACGTCCGGGGCTTGGGAAGGATGAATCCTCCCATTCCAGCAACCGTCTACTCATTCTCGTCTACTATTCGCAGCTCACCATTGGCACGGAGTCCGTCCCAACAGACAGGATAACGTCTAAGGTTATGGCAGGAATCTCTCACTGGTCTGACATGATGACTTGGCACAGGCTGCACGACTTGCCAAACGCCGTGGCGGGGGTTATCCTCATCCGGCCTGACACTCCACTTGTGACCTCCGCTAGGGCTTGTGTCGACTACGGTTGGTACGGTGGTACTTGCCTCCGCCGTGATGCTCACCCGCCGATTTCCAACGCTGGCAGAGGATTCCGTGTCTACGGCTCTTCTGAGCCCACAGGTGCCAATATGCCTGGCCCTTGTATGCACCGGCAGCCAACCTAATGAGCAAAGGCGGAAGCTCTGCTTCCAGCTGCACATTTTGCAGATTGTTGCGTCAGCCTCTCTCTAACCCTGGTGATCCCAACGATGTGTAGATCTCCTTTGCGTCAGCATTATACCTGCCATCGGTGCCTTCACAGGCACGGGGATTTTGCTGACGCGCATAGGGACACTGGTCTTTTCCTGCACCTTCATCGGGATTCTGCTGGTTGGCACAGATGCTGGTGGGCCGGTTCGCACAGACTCTGGTGGTCTGCAGATCAAGCAACCCCGCCAATCGGCGCAATCCTCTCGCCGTGCTGGATGACAGCTAGGTATACGATGTTGCTCAGCAGTCATTGCTTGTCCCTGCCTACCGTAGGAACTACGGCGGCCCCACGACCGGGGTGTTGCGTGGCGGAGAAACTGGCCGAGTTTATGGGTAAAACGCCCATAACCGCTACAGTTGTATTCACCGGGATTTCCCACGCGTTCTCTCCATGGCTGCTTAGTTGGTGGCCAGTTCTCCCGCAGAGCTCGCAGCCTATCCGGCAGCATCACGGGACTGCGTGCTGTAGAAGCTTGCCCCGGTGTTGGCTGATGCTGATCTTCATAGTGGTTTTTCGTCTTCGGACGTACTTTCTGGCTGGAGATGGCACACACAACCGCTCTGCTCACGGGTTTTGGCTT